TTCTGATCAGCGACCTATGCCACACAAGAGGTGAGGAGAGTAAATAGATAATTAAGTGGTGTGATACAATAATTATGCATTATACATAAATAATCACACAAAAGTAAAGGTGTATGTAGATATTTTGGTGGAAAAAGGCCAAATAAATGAATGAGAGATGACCAGTAGCATTAAGATGGTATGTTTTTTTTTTTCAAATGGTAGTCTGATCATATAATCAGTCCAACTGAGTTTGGGTTTGCATGAACTTGTTACATCATGTAATAATGATACTTGATCAAGATGACTTGTAGTGTTACTTAATATCTATTTCCATCCAGGAACAAATAAATTCCGAAAAATGTTATCATTGTAGTCGAAAGGACTAAAATTTCATGCAGTTAGTTCCCTTTATGAATTTAAATAAAGACAGAACAAATATTGATGCAGAATAGTATGAATTCATTATATTTCGTGGTTTCTCATCAGCTGCTTACAACCAAATATGCATTAGTTTTAGCATTGGGTAATAAATAGGATGGAACGACTGACATAAGTGAATGAAAAGGATTGGAATAACAAATTGTCATCAATGATAACTATATATATATGCAAGGAAAGGTCAGAGGTTATTAGGTATTAGAATGAAGGGTGGCGTAATAGTTGAGTGGAGTTCAGACACATGAGATCAAATGTGTGATAATTTTAGAGGTAATTCAAAACAATTAGGGTGGGTTACGTAATAATTGAATAAAATTCAGAGAGTTCATATACTAAAAAGAGAGACTAGTGAGCGGAAATGTGTGAGAGATAGGGTGGTTTTAAGAATTGGGTAAGGGATGAGGAATAAAATGAAAACTGAATATTAACCAAAATAAAACTAATGACAACAAAAATAAAACAAAAAAAACGGATTACCACTCAACCATTACGCCACCCTTCATTCTAATACCTAATAACCCTTGACCTTGAGGTAAGATGGTGGTTGGAGGTGGTCAACAGGAAACCCTGGACCCTGGTTTCGTGCTACTTGGCACTCGTCAGCAAGGTGTACCTGTAATCTTGAGGGAACTGATGCTCCCTGACGGATTCGATCCCGTGTCACTCAGCTTCACAGTCAGAGACGTTACCACTGAGCTAATCGGGCCGCGACCAACCCCCTGTAGGACTGAGATGTAATCACAATTTAATGATCACCACCCAGTGATAAATCAATTGTGAACCTCTGACGTTTCCTTGCATATATATATATAGTTATCATTGATGACAATTTGTTATTCCAATCCTTTTCATTCACTTATGTCAGTCGTTCCATCCTATTTATTACCCAATGCTAAAACTCTAATGCATATTTGGTTGTAAACAGCTGATGCTTACTTACTTACTTACGCCTGTTACCCCTCGTCGAGGAGCATAGGCCGCTCACCAGCATTCTCCATCCAACTCTGTCCTGAGCCTTCCTTTCCAGTTCTTTCCAGTTGCTATTCACCCTTTTCATATCTGCTTCTATTTCCCGGCGTAGTGTGTTCTTTGGCCTTCCTCTTTTCCGCTTCCCTTCCGGATTCCAAATTAGGGATTGAGTCGTGATGCACATTGGTGATTTCCTTAATGTATGTCCGATCCACTTCCAATGTCCTTTCCTAATTTCCTCTTCAGCTGGAAGCTGGTTTGTCCTCTCACATAAAACGCTGCTGCTGATAGTATCCAGCCAATGGATGTTGAGTATTTTGCGTAGACAACTGTTTATTAATACTTGTACCTTCCTGATGATGGTCGTAGTAGTTCTCCACGTTTCAGCTCCATACAGTAGGACTGTCTTGACGTTCTTATTGAAGGTTCTCACTTTGAAATTAGTCGATAGTTGTTTTGAGTTCCATATGTTCTTCAATTGTAGAAATGCCGCCCTTGCTTTGCCAATCCTCGCCTTTACATCTGCATCCGATCCTCCTTGTTTATCAACAATGCTTCTCAGGTACTTGAATGTTTCCACCTCTTCCAGAGTTTCGCCATCAAGTGTGATTGGGTTGGTGTTCTCCGTGTTGCATTTGAGAATCTTGCTTTTTCCTTTGTGAATGTGGAGACCTATCGATGCGGAGGCTGCTACTACATTTGCTGTCATCTGCATTTGTTCGTGTGTATGAGAGAGGAGGGCTAGGTCATCTGCAAAGTCCAAATCATCTAATTGATTCTGAGAAGTCCATTGTATTCCGTATTTCCCTTCAGATGTCGAATTCTTCATAATCCAGTCAATCACTAGAAGGAAGAGGAATGGGGAGAGCAGACATCCTTGTCTGACTCCGGTCCTTACTGGAAATGTATCTGTCAACTGTCCTCCATGCATGACTTTGCACTGTAGTCCATCGTATGAGTTTTGAATAATGTTGACAATCTTTTCAGGAACTCCATAGTGTCGAAGAAGTTTCCATAATGTTCTCCTATCCACGCTGTCAAACGCCTTCTCATAGTCAATGAAGTTGACGTATAGTGATGAGTTCCACTCAACTGATTGTTCAACAATGATCCGTAGTGTCGCAATCTGGTCTGTGCACGACCTATCCTTACGGAATCCAGCCTGTTGATCTCGAAGTTAGGCGTCTACTGCGTCTTTCATCCGATTCAGCAGCACCCTGTTGAAAATTTTTTCTGGTACTGACAACAGTGTGATGCCTCTGTAGTTCTCACATTTGCTCAGATCTCTTTTCTTTGGTATCTTGATGGGGTATCCTTCTTTCCAGTCCGTTGGCACTTGTTCCTCTTCCCAAATCTCCTTGAATAGAAGGTAAAGCATGTTTGCAGTTATTTCAATGTCTGACTTCAGTGTTTCAGCTGGTATATTGTCAGATCCTGCCGCCTTCCCACTTTTGATTTGTCTGATGGCTATCTTGACTTCTTCGATCGTTGGTGGAGTGACATCTATATGAAGGTCAGTGTGTGCTGCTTCGATGTTCGGTGGATTCAATGGGTCTGGTCTATTCAGCAGTTCCTCGAAGTATTCTGCCCATCTTTTCCTCTGTTCTTGAATCTCAGTGATTGTCTTTCCTTCCTTGTCCTTGACTGGTCTCTCTAGTTTGCTATATCTCCCCGCCAATTTCTTCGGTGTATCATATAGTTGTCTCATATTCCCTTCTCTTGCAGCTTTTTCCTCCGTTGTTGCTAGTTCTCCCATGTATTTCTGTTTGTCGGCCTTAATGCTTTTCTTCACTTCCCTGTTTACTTCTGCGTAGTCTGCTTGTGCTTCGACTTTCTCTGCTCGTGTTCGGCTGTTGTTAACTGCTAGTTTCTCGTTCTTTTTTTCTTAAATTTTGTCCAGGGTTCCCATAGAGATCCATTCCTTATGATGATGCTTCTTAGAACCAAGAACCTTCTGACACGCTGATCTCTTTCTAGTTGTCCTCCAAGGTAGTTTCTTGTTCATCCAGTAGATCCTGTAGAGCTTTGAACCTGTTGTTGAGAGTTATCTTGAATTCATGGAGCTTGTCAGTACCTCGAAGGAAGACTGTATTGAACCTTTGTAGTTCTGTTTGTCCAGGTGTCCAGTCTTTCTTTAGCATCAGTCTCATCTTGGCCACAACCAGGTGGTGATCTGAAGATATGTCAGCTCTTCTCCGGGTTCTCACATCTTCCACTGATCTTCGGAATTTTTTGTTGATACAGATGTGATCTATCTAGTTCTCTGTTATTTGGTCAGATGAGATCCATGTAGCTTTATGTATGCGCTTGTGTGAGAATATTGTGCCGCCTATAACCAATTTTTTGAATGCACATAGATTTGCAAGTCTCTCCCCATTTTCATCTCTCTCTCCTAGTCCATATCGTCCAATTATGTCTTCATATCCTATGTTGTCCACTCCAACTTTAGCATTTAGATCGACCATCAGGATGGTGAGGTCCTTTCGTGAGCACTTCTCTATGATTGATTGCGGCCTCCAGTAAAAACTGATCTTTATCATCGTCGTTGCTATCATTGGTGGATGCATAACACTGGATAACGTTCATTGTGATCCCTTGCTTCTTTGTTCTGAATGATGCTTTGATTATCCTGGGTCCATGAGATTCCCATCCCACAAGTGCATTTCGTGCTTCTTTGGACAGCATTAGAGCAACTCCCTGAGTGTGTGGAGCATTTTCCCCTTCGTGACCGGAGTACAGCAGCATCTCTCCTGTACCTAGCCTTTGTTGTCCAGTTTGTGTCCAATGGGTTTCGTTGATTCTGAGTACTGCCAAGTTGTATCTCCTCATTTCCATTGCTATTTGGCTGGTGTCCCCTGTCTCCCACATTGTCCGGACGTTCCATGTACCTAAAAAGAGTGTTGCTCTTGTTGTTAGAAGGTGCATCAGTCTCGTGACTTCCGAAGAATTTCATCATGAGACGTCATAATTATTCCTTCAACTGGGAGGGCAGAGTTTAAACGGTTCGAATTCTTTTTTCTGGTTAGCGTTTTTTTAGCGAGTTAGCTTTTCTACGGGATGGGGTCGCCAACCTCATGCCCAACCCTCCTCCTTTACCCGGGCTTGGGACCGGCAGTAACTCTAGAAGAGCTACAGGCGGAGTTAATCAGCAGATGAGAAACCACGAAATATAATGAAAAGACAAAAGTTGTTTTCTTATTATTCATAGCGGTTTTTTATTTGAAGTAAGAAACTAAAAATTATAATCGACACATTGATCAATGGATTGTAGATCAGTCATTAGAAAGTACTGTGTTAACCTTGAAATCTAATGGCTCTGAGTTCAACTACGAAGTTAAGCTAAAATATGGTAATACGTAAGTGATAAATGTTAAAACTTCTATTATTTGAAAAAATAAAATCAGTCAACAAAATAACTCGTCTTGTCATGAAAGAGAATGCACATAACAATTCCAAAACGAACGACAAATACATTCAAGTAGAAGATAGATTATATTGCCTTTTACTCCCAATGGAGCATAGGCCACCGACCAGCATGAAATTATTACCAAAATAAATAACTGTACAGTTATTATTTGAGTGTCATCTTATTTACTTTTTTCAATTTAGGTATGAATATTGAATCCGAATTCAGTGATAATAAATTTAAATATAATGGAGAAATTCTTGGTGTTACGCGAGAGATAAAAAATATTGAGATAAAAGAAGAGGTCAATGACGAGAGAACAGAAGAAAGAGGTTTGCAGAGAAATAGTGAAGGTTACGAAATGACATCAAAGTTAACGGAAGATAAAAAAGAGACGGAAGAAATAGCTGCTGAAAAACTTCAAACAACTGAAAATAAAGCAAGAAAATTAGATACAATTGAGAATAAGAAAAGGATAAAAACGAAGGAAGCAGAATATCAAGTGGAAAACAAACAAGGAATTCAAGATAAGCGAAGCAACAACAAAGTGAACGAAACGGAGGGGAAAAACGACGAAAAAAATATAGGCACAAAAACGACGAAACCAGCGAAAATTAACACACAAAAGAGAGGATCAAAGAAAGTGGGAGAAAACCAACGAAACGAAAGAAAATTAACAACACAAAAAACAAAATCAAAGAACACATCTAAAAACAGCAAAACAGAAATGAACCAAACAAAACACCACTTGAATGAAGGAACAACAAAAACGCTTAAGGAAAGAAAAAGCGGAAAAAATAAAAAAAAAAAGAGGGTCAAGCACAGCATAGAGCAGCTAGATTGCGTCACCGTACATCAGAAAAAAAGAAGAACCACAACGGAAAGAAGGAATGACGTAAACGACGAAACCAGTAGGGATGTGGAAACGATCACGGTTCCGATGCCGTCATTGACTGAGGACAGACTGCAGACGGGTTCTGTGTCGGATGCTGTACAGTCAGTGAGCCCACATGAGGACACAGATTCACACGGAAACAATTCTCTCAGTTCGACTGACAACAAGGAGGGTGGGGAAAATGTGTCACAATCCGGTCGCACGAGTGATGTAGATTTTGGTGGACACAGCACTGATGATGACAGTCGAGATGTGGATGAGCGTTCGAGTGTGGATAATGATGTGACGAGTGTGACGAAGGAGGGGCAATCACATGAGACTGAGAGAGGGTCAGTCGCAGTAGATATGGATGGTGAGACTGTGACACAGGTAGTTGGTGAGGACAAGATGGTATCGGTTGGTGAGCACGAATTTGTGGACAACGAACAACAGGGTGCATCACGATCACCCGATGTAGATTGGGAGTCACGAATCGAAGCGACACCTGAGCCGATCGACGAGACCAGTGGGGATGTGGAAACGATCACGGTTCCGATGCCGTCATTGACTGAGGACAGACTGCAGACGGGTTCTGTGTCGGATGCTGTACAGTCAGTGAGCCCACATGAGGACACAGATTCACACGGAAACAATTCTCTCAGTTCGACTGACAACAAGGAGGGTGGGGAAAATGTGTCACAATCCGGTCGCACGAGTGATGTAGATTTTGGTGGACACAGCACTGATGATGACAGTCGAGATGTGGATGAGCGTTCGAGTGTGGATAATGATGTGACGAGTGTGACGAAGGAGGGGCAATCACATGAGACTGAGAGAGGGTCAGTCGCAGTAGATATGGATGGTGAGACTGTGACACAGGTAGTTGGTGAGGACAAGATGGTATCGGTTGGTGAGCACGAATTTGTGGACAACGAACAACAGGGTGCATCACGATCACCCGATGTAGATTGGGAGTCACGAATCGAAGCGACACCTGAGCCGATCGACGAGACCAGTGGAGATGTGGAAACGATCACGGTTCCGATGCCGTCATTGACTGAGGACAGACTGCAGACGGGTTCTGTGTCGGATGCTGTACAGTCAGTGAGCCCACATGAGGACACAGATTCACACGGAAACAATTCTCTCAGTTCGACTGACAACAAGGAGGGTGGGGAAAATGTGTCACAATCCGGTCGCACGAGTGATGTAGATTTTGGTGGACACAGCACTGATGATGACAGTCGAGATGTGGATGAGCGTTCGAGTGTGGATAATGATGTGACGAGTGTGACGAAGGAGGGGCAATCACATGAGACTGAGAGAGGGTCAGTCGCAGTAGATATGGATGGTGAGACTGTGACACAGGTAGTTGGTGAGGACAAGATGGTATCGGTTGGTGAGCACGAATTTGTGGACAACGAACAACAGGGTGCATCACGATCACCCGATGTAGATTGGGAGTCACGAATCGAAGCGACACCTGAGCCGATCGACGAGACCAGTGGGGATGTGGAAACGATCACGGTTCCGATGCCGTCATTGACTGAGGACAGACTGCAGACGGGTTCTGTGTCGGATGCTGTACAGTCAGTGAGCCCACATGAGGACACAGATTCACACGGAAACAATTCTCTCAGTTCGACTGACAACAAGGAGGGTGGGGAAAATGTGTCACAATCCGGTCGCACGAGTGATGTAGATTTTGGTGGACACAGCACTGATGATGACAGTCGAGATGTGGATGAGCGTTCGAGTGTGGATAATGATGTGACGAGTGTGACGAAGGAGGGGCAATCACATGAGACTGAGAGAGGGTCAGTCGCAGTAGATATGGATGGTGAGACTGTGACACAGGTAGTTGGTGAGGACAAGATGGTATCGGTTGGTGAGCACGAATTTGTGGACAACGAACAACAGGGTGCATCACGATCACCCGATGTAGATTGGGAGTCACGAATCGAAGCGACACCTGAGCCGATCGACGAGACCAGTGGAGATGTGGAAACGATCACGGTTCCGATGCCGTCATTGACTGAGGACAGACTGCAGACGGGTTCTGTGTCGGATGCTGTACAGTCAGTGAGCCCACATGAGGACACAGATTCACACGGAAACAATTCTCTCAGTTCGACTGACAACAAGGAGGGTGGGGAAAATGTGTCACAATCCGGTCGCACGAGTGATGTAGATTTTGGTGGACACAGCACTGATGATGACAGTCGAGATGTGGATGAGCGTTCGAGTGTGGATAATGATGTGACGAGTGTGACGAAGGAGGGGCAATCACATGAGACTGAGAGAGGGTCAGTCGCAGTAGATATGGATGGTGAGACTGTGACACAGGTAGTTGGTGAGGACAAGATGGTATCGGTTGGTGAGCACGAATTTGTGGACAACGAACAACAGGGTGCATCACGATCACCCGATGTAGATTGGGAGTCACGAATCGAAGCGACACCTGAGCCGATCGACGAGACCAGTGGGGATGTGGAAACGATCACGGTTCCGATGCCGTCATTGACTGAGGACAGACTGCAGACGGGTTCTGTGTCGGATGCTGTACAGTCAGTGAGCCCACATGAGGACACAGATTCACACGGAAACAATTCTCTCAGTTCGACTGACAACAAGGAGGGTGGGGAAAATGTGTCACAATCCGGTCGCACGAGTGATGTAGATTTTGGTGGACACAGCACTGATGATGACAGTCGAGATGTGGATGAGCGTTCGAGTGTGGATAATGATGTGACGAGTGTGACGAAGGAGGGGCAATCACATGAGACTGAGAGAGGGTCAGTCGCAGTAGATATGGATGGTGAGACTGTGACACAGGTAGTTGGTGAGGACAAGATGGTATCGGTTGGTGAGCACGAATTTGTGGACAACGAACAACAGGGTGCATCACGATCACCCGATGTAGATTGGGAGTCACGAATCGAAGCGACACCTGAGCCGATCGACGAGACCAGTGGGGATGTGGAAACGATCACGGTTCCGATGCCGTCATTGACTGAGGACAGACTGCAGACGGGTTCTGTGTCGGATGCTGTACAGTCAGTGAGCCCACATGAGGACACAGATTCACACGGAAACAATTCTCTCAGTTCGACTGACAACAAGGAGGGTGGGGAAAATGTGTCACAATCCGGTCGCACGAGTGATGTAGATTTTGGTGGACACAGCACTGATGATGACAGTCGAGATGTGGATGAGCGTTCGAGTGTGGATAATGATGTGACGAGTGTGACGAAGGAGGGGCAATCACATGAGACTGAGAGAGGGTCAGTCGCAGTAGATATGGATGGTGAGACTGTGACACAGGTAGTTGGTGAGGACAAGATGGTATCGGTTGGTGAGCACGAATTTGTGGACAACGAACAACAGGGTGCATCACGATCACCCGATGTAGATTGGGAGTCACGAATCGAAGCGACACCTGAGCCGATCGACGAGACCAGTGGGGATGTGGAAACGATCACGGTTCCGATGCCGTCATTGACTGAGGACAGACTGCAGACGGGTTCTGTGTCGGATGCTGTACAGTCAGTGAGCCCACATGAGGACACAGATTCACACGGAAACAATTCTCTCAGTTCGACTGACAACAAGGAGGGTGGGGAAAATGTGTCACAATCCGGTCGCACGAGTGATGTAGATTTTGGTGGACACAGCACTGATGATGACAGTCGAGATGTGGATGAGCGTTCGAGTGTGGATAATGATGTGACGAGTGTGACGAAGGAGGGGCAATCACATGAGACTGAGAGAGGGTCAGTCGCAGTAGATATGGATGGTGAGACTGTGACACAGGTAGTTGGTGAGGACAAGATGGTATCGGTTGGTGAGCACGAATTTGTGGACAACGAACAACAGGGTGCATCACGATCACCCGATGTAGATTGGGAGTCACGAATCGAAGCGACACCTGAGCCGATCGACGAGACCAGTGGGGATGTGGAAACGATCACGGTTCCGATGCCGTCATTGACTGAGGACAGACTGCAGACGGGTTCTGTGTCGGATGCTGTACAGTCAGTGAGCCCACATGAGGACACAGATTCACACGGAAACAATTCTCTCAGTTCGACTGACAACAAGGAGGGTGGGGAAAATGTGTCACAATCCGGTCGCACGAGTGATGTAGATTTTGGTGGACACAGCACTGATGATGACAGTCGAGATGTGGATGAGCGTTCGAGTGTGGATAATGATGTGACGAGTGTGACGAAGGAGGGGCAATCACATGAGACTGAGAGAGGGTCAGTCGCAGTAGATATGGATGGTGAGACTGTGACACAGGTAGTTGGTGAGGACAAGATGGTATCGGTTGGTGAGCACGAATTTGTGGACAACGAACAACAGGGTGCATCACGATCACCCGATGTAGATTGGGAGTCACGAATCGAAGCGACACCTGAGCCGATCGACGAGACCAGTGGAGATGTGGAAACGATCACGGTTCCGATGCCGTCATTGACTGAGGACAGACTGCAGACGGGTTCTGTGTCGGATGCTGTACAGTCAGTGAGCCCACATGAGGACACAGATTCACACGGAAACAATTCTCTCAGTTCGACTGACAACAAGGAGGGTGGGGAAAATGTGTCACAATCCGGTCGCACGAGTGATGTAGATTTTGGTGGACACAGCACTGATGATGACAGTCGAGATGTGGATGAGCGTTCGAGTGTGGATAATGATGTGACGAGTGTGACGAAGGAGGGGCAATCACATGAGACTGAGAGAGGGTCAGTCGCAGTAGATATGGATGGTGAGACTGTGACACAGGTAGTTGGTGAGGACAAGATGGTATCGGTTGGTGAGCACGAATTTGTGGACAACGAACAACAGGGTGCATCACGATCACCCGATGTAGATTGGGAGTCACGAATCGAAGCGACACCTGAGCCGATCGACGAGACCAGTGGAGATGTGGAAACGATCACGGTTCCGATGCCGTCATTGACTGAGGACAGACTGCAGACGGGTTCTGTGTCGGATGCTGTACAGTCAGTGAGCCCACATGAGGACACAGATTCACACGGAAACAATTCTCTCAGTTCGACTGACAACAAGGAGGGTGGGGAAAATGTGTCACAATCCGGTCGCACGAGTGATGTAGATTTTGGTGGACACAGCACTGATGATGACAGTCGAGATGTGGATGAGCGTTCGAGTGTGGATAATGATGTGACGAGTGTGACGAAGGAGGGGCAATCACATGAGACTGAGAGAGGGTCAGTCGCAGTAGATATGGATGGTGAGACTGTGACACAGGTAGTTGGTGAGGACAAGATGGTATCGGTTGGTGAGCACGAATTTGTGGACAACGAACAACAGGGTGCATCACGATCACCCGATGTAGATTGGGAGTCACGAATCGAAGCGACACCTGAGCCGATCGACGAGACCAGTGGGGATGTGGAAACGATCACGGTTCCGATGCCGTCATTGACTGAGGACAGACTGCAGACGGGTTCTGTGTCGGATGCTGTACAGTCAGTGAGCCCACATGAGGACACAGATTCACACGGAAACAATTCTCTCAGTTCGACTGACAACAAGGAGGGTGGGGAAAATGTGTCACAATCCGGTCGCACGAGTGATGTAGATTTTGGTGGACACAGCACTGATGATGACAGTCGAGATGTGGATGAGCGTTCGAGTGTGGATAATGATGTGACGAGTGTGACGAAGGAGGGGCAATCACATGAGACTGAGAGAGGGTCAGTCGCAGTAGATATGGATGGTGAGACTGTGACACAGGTAGTTGGTGAGGACAAGATGGTATCGGTTGGTGAGCACGAATTTGTGGACAACGAACAACAGGGTGCATCACGATCACCCGATGTAGATTGGGAGTCACGAATCGAAGCGACACCTGAGCCGATCGACGAGACCAGTGGAGATGTGGAAACGATCACGGTTCCGATGCCGTCATTGACTGAGGACAGACTGCAGACGGGTTCTGTGTCGGATGCTGTACAGTCAGTGAGCCCACATGAGGACACAGATTCACACGGAAACAATTCTCTCAGTTCGACTGACAACAAGGAGGGTGGGGAAAATGTGTCACAATCCGGTCGCACGAGTGATGTAGATTTTGGTGGACACAGCACTGATGATGACAGTCGAGATGTGGATGAGCGTTCGAGTGTGGATAATGATGTGACGAGTGTGACGAAGGAGGGGCAATCACATGAGACTGAGAGAGGGTCAGTCGCAGTAGATATGGATGGTGAGACTGTGACACAGGTAGTTGGTGAGGACAAGATGGTATCGGTTGGTGAGCACGAATTTGTGGACAACGAACAACAGGGTGCATCACGATCACCCGATGTAGATTGGGAGTCACGAATCGAAGCGACACCTGAGCCGATCGACGAGACCAGTGGGGATGTGGAAACGATCACGGTTCCGATGCCGTCATTGACTGAGGACAGACTGCAGACGGGTTCTGTGTCGGATGCTGTACAGTCAGTGAGCCCACATGAGGACACAGATTCACACGGAAACAATTCTCTCAGTTCGACTGACAACAAGGAGGGTGGGGAAAATGTGTCACAATCCGGTCGCACGAGTGATGTAGATTTTGGTGGACACAGCACTGATGATGACAGTCGAGATGTGGATGAGCGTTCGAGTGTGGATAATGATGTGACGAGTGTGACGAAGGAGGGGCAATCACATGAGACTGAGAGAGGGTCAGTCGCAGTAGATATGGATGGTGAGACTGTGACACAGGTAGTTGGTGAGGACAAGATGGTATCGGTTGGTGAGCACGAATTTGTGGACAACGAACAACAGGGTGCATCACGATCACCCGATGTAGATTGGGAGTCACGAATCGAAGCGACACCTGAGCCGATCGACGAGACCAGTGGGGATGTGGAAACGATCACGGTTCCGATGCCGTCATTGACTGAGGACAGACTGCAGACGGGTTCTGTGTCGGATGCTGTACAGTCAGTGAGCCCACATGAGGACACAGATTCACACGGAAACAATTCTCTCAGTTCGACTGACAACAAGGAGGGTGGGGAAAATGTGTCACAATCCGGTCGCACGAGTGATGTAGATTTTGGTGGACACAGCACTGATGATGACAGTCGAGATGTGGATGAGCGTTCGAGTGTGGATAATGATGTGACGAGTGTGACGAAGGAGGGGCAATCACATGAGACTGAGAGAGGGTCAGTCGCAGTAGATATGGATGGTGAGACTGTGACACAGGTAGTTGGTGAGGACAAGATGGTATCGGTTGGTGAGCACGAATTTGTGGACAACGAACAACAGGGTGCATCACGATCACCCGATGTAGATTGGGAGTCACGAATCGAAGCGACACCTGAGCCGATCGACGAGACCAGTGGAGATGTGGAAACGATCACGGTTCCGATGCCGTCATTGACTGAGGACAGACTGCAGACGGGTTCTGTGTCGGATGCTGTACAGTCAGTGAGCCCACATGAGGACACAGATTCACACGGAAACAATTCTCTCAGTTCGACTGACAACAAGGAGGGTGGGGAAAATGTGTCACAATCCGGTCGCACGAGTGGTTCTGATGTTGTTGAACGCAACACTTTTGGTTTTGTTGAGGATGTGTATGTTGAAAAATGTTTCTTATCTTTTCATCGTGTCTGTGTTTTTGTTGGTCAGTTGGTTTACGAAAATTCTTTGAATAGTTTTGTTAGCAACTCTTTTTCTAATTGTCTCTTGTCAGTATAATGACTCAATACCTTTTTTTGGGTATTGCTAGCAAATTTCATTAATTTGATTCTTTTTGATTTTTATTCCTTCTATTTATCCCAACTGATGTTTTATATAGTTAGAATCATAAGTCAGTTGATGGTGGTCTAGCTGCAACTGACTCATGATCTTAACTGTATAAAATTTCTAAAATCTCCACAAAACCCCCTTGTGATGTTGTTTTACTGATTTGTTTACACTTAATTGTTCTCATTAAATAAATTTCGTTATTATTGTTCTGGTGATGAATGTTATGTGTTCTGTTAAATGCAGATTTTACTGAATGTGACACCGAATGGTTACAATGATTACAATAATCTCTAAAACACTGTGCAATTATATAAGTTGTTACTTTTATTTATATACAACCCTTAGACTAACATCTAACTACTAAATCAATCAACCACTGCTTATACAATTCTATATAACTCGAATATGGGGTTAAGTTATATGAATATCAGTATGTGTTAGAGTAATGGTATTATGATGGCAAAATGTGCGTTTATCATTTTCATACTGATCTCTTTACTTACGACTAATTAGGCGAAATGGTTTTACAATGTTTACTGGTTTTTAATAATTTTGGAGATGTTGTTAATCCTATAGGTTGTATGATTTTTGGAAATTGAACTATTCACCACTAACTATATGGTTAAATACATCCAAACAAGTAGTTCATAAACGTATTTTACATTAATAGTGTTTTCACATCTCTGTCAACATCATTTTATGCTGTAGAGAAAGATGTGTGAAACTAATCAATTCAAAATACACAGACTTGATATTCAACCAAGTTGCGCCTCTAATTTGGATGATTGTACTACTTATACAGTAGTATGACTAGACAGTATGAAACTTATATATAAATGTAATCTAAGAAATAATTGAACCAGCTAATGTAATTAGATGCGTGCACCTTCAAAGTCGATGCTCATTAAAAACTGAAAGTCTCCATAAATTTCGACAAACATTGAGTACAATATTTCAAAGTATTCTGTCTAGGAAATGCATGGAAAGTAGTAAAAAAGAAAGCAGATGAATAGTTATATGTGAACAACTACTACACAACTCACCTTTCAATAAATCAACAGAAGAAAAATATAATGATACACTATTGTTTAATAAAGGTAAACAGTGAAAAAATTGATAGTGTGAAAACACTAGCACAATATATGTTTCATTAAAAACGTTGAAGTGTTGGATGATTCAGTCCGTGACTATGATCCCGTATAGACCTTACAGTTCACATTATTGACAGTATTGTGAGGTATGTTCACTCGGAATGATTACTCAATTGTCTTTTCAAATGATGAACACTATTATAACAACTTGACTAAACCTGTAAACTGACCTAGATTCTGTAATTAATCTCAGAATATATATTCTTACTGTGATGCAGTCTACAATCAATACATATAATGTGGAGTATGTGTAATTGATGACATGAGGTGTTATGTCGTAAGATGATGATTTTATGATAGGTGTATATTTGGTTTTCGGGTATATCTGGGTAAAGTGTTCGCATTTAGCGGTCTCGAAGAAGCTATGGTAATGATGAGAGAAATCCAGTTCTACATCATATACTGACAAATTATATATTAGAATTCATGCATTTTCAAGGATATCTCGAACCAATCGGACAACGCTCACCAACTTCACAGCTCGAATCAAGACTATGTGGTGAAGCCATTAACACGGTGATTCATCATTATTCATTCAACGTTGAACACTCACAATCGTGGACTACAATAAGATACACATAATCTGTGAGAAAACATGAAAAGTATGGAGGAATGAGAGGTGAATGCACAAAGAGCATTGGTGTTAGTTTAAGTGCGGTTTCTTTACTCATTCACATCATGGTTGTATTGGCTAATCGTTTTCCAACATGACCCTTCGTCTACTATACAAACATTCGACTCTTCATTAAAATGAAGATGTCGACAATGATAGATTGGGTTAGTGTGGTCGAGTCACGTGCTGTGCTCACATGGATTCTGGAGATCGAACTGTAAGTGGCAATAAATGAGCGAGAAACGATATTGATGGAATTAGATTAGACATCTTATTGACGTCTGTATTGACCTCCAAGTTTTGTGTGGGTCAGAAGATCCAGTTTGTAAATACATATGATTTCTGAAAATTATACACGGTTTTACCAATTGAGGCTTCTCGCAATTTGCTTAGATTTCTTACTCGAAACACTAGTTGAGCAAAGGTAAAAAAATCTCGAACATCTGATAGGCTAATACCTTCTTCCCAAGGATGAAGTGTTCTTCTAATAAGCACCACATTTCTCTTCGTTATCCCTTTTCATTCACCATTTCCCTCTTCATTAGGATTTATTTTCTTTTCCTTATTCTTAATGCTCTCAAATTTATAATATTTTCAATGGGGTCGAATTTTGTTGTCGTTGAAAACGTTTCACTATATTCATTTTCTTTGACTAAGCAAAGGAAAATTGAAACAAACAGTTGACTATCAAGAGAGATATTGACATGAGTTAACAATCTAAAAAACTCTTTTTTCCATAAAAGTGTAGAGTAATATAGACATTTATCAATCATTGAAAATGTTTGTATTTATTCCAAGAAGAAAACAGTTACAAGGGTCAAATTAAAGAATGCTGTAATGAATCGGGTTTCCTACTCTAAGAATACCTCCAGACCATTAATTCCTGCACTCGATAATCGAACGGAGAAGATTCGAGTGCGCATACAGATGTACAATGCTGAGCAGTCTCATACTAGGATGAAACAGACGTCCAGTGCTTCCATATTTGAACTAGTGGTCTAACAATAATTACTTTAGACTTTCGTGAAACTCAGCGATCTCTACAAATCTATAAAGATAATTATTGAATTGATTATGTCCGGTATAAGATATGATGCTTGACTGACGATGTCATAATCATGGCGGAAATACTGTTATAATGTATTTTCTGACGAGTACCAGTAAATAGGTCACACTAAAATGTCTGTTGTATGATCAGTTTAGTAAGAAATGAACTAAATCCTCCAAAGACTATTTGCTTGAATTTTTCTATCATCACCTTTCCTAATTCCTTTTGTGAACTCTTTCAACTAAACTATCTTGAACTTGAATTTATGAGTTTTCTGTCTAATGGTTCAATTAAATATACCATTATCGGAATACTTCTGTTTACCGTAATTCGCAAAACTGAAACATTGTCTTATCCTCCTGTTATATCCCATGGTGAATTATGAATGTTAACTCTAAGGACTATTTATCGACCAATGTATTGTGCCTATTTCCTATTGCACAATTGTTACGTAACTAAACTATTCATATTCGTATTTCTCTTATCATTAGCTTTATTTTGACCTTGACTTATTATCATACGATTATTGTGTTATAATCAGTTTATTGATTACTTTGGTTTGTATAAAAACCCAGTGTGTTTATAAATAATGATTCATATTGCCGAGGCTGTTATTTGTGTTCTGGACTCAATTGGCTGGGCTAGGCAGATAGGAAGGACTGAACCGCACCCAAGACTGCTCGTACGATTTCAAATCATCATTTGCGTCCGATCAGATAAATCCACTACCTCTCCTAATTGCACGTTCATATATATTACGATCCCCATACGTTATAACACCTCCAGATTACTAACAATATCTTTCCATCAAATAATCAATGTCATCAACTGAATTTCATACGAATAGTGAGAGTTTCTCTATACTTACAAATATATGTAACTATAAGTATAGTTCCATTGTTTTGTTCGAAAACTTCACCAATCTCTTATATGCCTGGACTATATGAATTGATCGATGAGTACAACCAATAAAACAAACAAAATCCATTTTGTAAAAGCAGTCGACATATTCGCTTGTTGTTGTAGTGCCATCGAGAATTATTATTGCTGAGCTGCGTGTAATTTACTGTATACAAAATATTCAAACAAAAACTGATAGGTAAACCAGTTGATACTGACAAATTATAACACTTTACTGATATTCAACTCCTATAAATTTTACTTCTCTGTGTGATTTACCCACCTGTGAAAAGACAAGCTTATCAAATATTTAAATGGAAAAATGGTTTCCAAGTATTATTCAATGAAGAATGATTAATAATATAAACTATACATTGACCAGTATGTCAAAGAGACTGATCAGTTTACATGACCAGTGAATAACAATAAGAATTTCTAAGCAAAGATGGATAGTGACTAGAAGTGGAATATAGTATGCACGTTTCGTTTTATTCGGAACTAGTCAGCTGGATGTACCTGCATCTCAGATTTGGTTTTATCGAGGCAATACGCACAGTATGCACATATGCCAATAAGCAACTGATCAATTGCATTCATAAACATCAATAGGAAGATTCAATCAAACAATACCAATTGAATTTAATAAGAATTTCTGAAGCTCATCTATAACATCATAAATAACATTATAATGAGAGTTTGAATTAGATTATCTCACTGGAATACGGAAACTAGCAGATACATCTTTTGTTTTATACATTTATGGATTGATCTTAGATAACCAAAGAAATTCAAGAAGCACTTCATGGTTGTTTTGTTTTTATTCAAGGAAATATTAATATTAATATTGTGATTTATTCATCATTTATCCCCATCAACTGACTTGATGATTTCATCATAATACGTGTGTATATGTTAGACGATTCACCTGTTTTCAATGCGGAGTGACTTTTGGAAAAGCCTTTGGATTAACAGATCATATGAATAGTTGAATCCACGAGTCGATATAAGATCGACCAATATAAAAACCTGGAAAGAGTGAATGACAATTTCATCCTAGTATGCGACTCTTCAACAATGCGAATCTTGCTGAAATCGACACAGCAATCCAACTGTTAACTGATTACAATATCCACAACCACGTCCCCATTCTGACAATATCATTTTATTGTAAATAATATGAGTGTTTAAACAAACACAGAACTTGATTGTTTCAGATAAATTGAACATTCAGTGGGAAGTTATTCGTAAATATACTACGTAAACCTGTGTACATTTAATTCGGTTATTTATTTACTCTGAAGGATTGACCTACATTAAGTACGGAAACGTCAGAAATACACCTTTTCTGTTCATTGAGATATAACAACAAATATATTAATCATAAACACAGAACTATTTAGCGTCTACTATCTTTCCAATTAGATCAGTTGAAGCTAATTGTGGTAATCAATGTAGAACTTTGTAAATGAATCAAATACTACCGAATACAATGACAAGTTTGCGAAAGTTTTCAAATTATCTGTTGAAATCTAAACACTATCATACACATCTGCAGAGAACCGGAAAGATTTTCAAGTTCCCGTTAAGAGGATGCTACAGTATTGATCTGAACTGACTGACACGGAGCCGTCTACTAACTTAATCGTGAAAATTATCACAAAGAATGGTACTGGTTTCAAGATTACAATTTGCGAGAAGCATTCCCAATGCGATTTTCACGGTCATTATCAACTACTTTCGCTTCATCATATATTACATCATACTGTTGAAATTGGATGTCGGGTTGCGTGCAGGTAGGATTTACAACATATGAAGGCTTGTCTTTAAGGAGCAATGTGTAATAAAATCTAATTTCATGTATTTAAATATCCTATTCGAGTATATTTCTGTCTCCTATTCATTTGTATTGTTTCATCTTTTGTATTTGTTAGTAGGAGATCCAGGCTAATTAAATCGTAGTCCCATCTCAAGTAAGAGTTATATTATCCCTCAACATTATCATACACATTTGCAGAGAACCGGAAAGATTTTTAAGTTCTCCTTAAGTGGAAGCTACAGTATTGATCTGAAGTGACTGACACAGAGACATCTACTAACTGAATCGTGAAAATATACATAAACAATGGTACTGGTTTTACGATTAGAATTTAATTCATTCTTGATAGATGAAATGTGTTGGAAAGGAAAGCTTCCCAACAGTCAGCGATCGATTTCCCAGTCTACTTCAACCAACTGTCAAAGTGATAAAATCTTAAGCAAATAGCTGAGCATAGAAGTTATGGCTTCCAGTCATCAAAATTCAATCAAGAACATCAACATTAGGATATATTAAATCATTGTTTTAAAAGACTGATATTTGAACAAAGAATATTCTTTTTGATAAATTCTCTTCAGGTTCTACAATTATATATCAAAATTAATAATATGAAAAAATGGCCAAGTGAAAGAAAAAGTACGTCGTTGATGAGACGTTACTGATTACGAAACCTGACAAAGGTTCAGGAGTGGTTCTTTTTAATAAAAACGATTATATTGATAAAATGGGTACCATCTTAAATGACAAACTAAAATTCCAAAAAATAACTAACCACAAAGATCTCAATATTAAAGTAGAGAAGGAGCTTACCAGTTCTTTGAAGAAGCTCAGAAACAGACTATTTCGTCTGGTTTATATGAAATGATTAAACCAGTGAGGACCCATCTGCCAAGATTGTATGGATTACCAAAGGTACACAAACCGGAGATCACATTACGACCTATTTTAGATATGCATAATTCTCCTTATCATACTATAGCTAATTGGTTGGTAACTTTATTGAAACCTCTCCACGAAAAGTTGGTTAAACAGTGTTAAGGGTGTATTTCAATTTGATGATAAAGTCAAAAATGATAATACTTTGGGACTAAAAATGTTGTCTTTGGATGTGACATCACTATTCACAAATATCCAAACCATAGAGACCGTAGAATATATATAGGGAAACAACTGATTGAAAATGAAATTGAAACTACAGTTCCAATTAATGTCGTGAAAGAGTTATTACTGAAATGCACCATGAATGTGAATTTCAAATTCGACGGTGAAATATTTAAACAAACAGATGGTGTTGCAGTGAGTTCACCTCTTAGCCCTATACAAGCTGATATATTTCTAGCCAAACTAGAGAACGGTCCTTTAAAAAAGATTATTCAAAAATTCAAATTTTACTGTAGATATATGGATGACACATTCATCCTGTGTAAAGATAATATATCACAGCACGACGTGTTTAGGCAGTTTAACGAAGTGCATCCAGCCATTTAGTTTACATCGGAGGAAGAGAGTGATGGCCGAATAGCTTTTTGGACGTCCTCTTAACTAAGAAAGCAGATGGACCATCTTCTACAACCGCCTCACAATAAGAACTGTTAATAAAGACAGATTCCCTGAATTCTCCACATCTTTGTGTATTTACCAATTCAACTGCTCCTGTGGAGCCAGTTATATAGGGCGTACAATTCGGCAAGTTCGTCAACGAATAACAGAACACCATCCGTCGTGGTTGAACAAAGGAGAGGTAAAGGGGATTAAGAGTTCTATTCTTGCTCACTTGGTGGACACAGGTCATGAGGTTGAACTGAATAAAGCTTTTAAGGTTATCTACCATATTCCATCAAATTTGTCACATGGTTTATGAGCTCGTCTATTGCACATAGCTGAAGCCATCGCAATTCATATTCACAAACCGAACCTTTGTATCCAAAAGAAGTTTGTACAACAACTCTCGCTACCTTGGCCATCGGTACAACGGAGTTTGCAACAGAATTTTGGTAAACAATTATTTTATTATCAGAAGGGGTTTTGTGGAGATTTTAGTATTTTTATAGAGTTGAGATCATGAGTCAATTGAAGCTAGACTACCATGGAAAACCTGGAAGCACTGGACGGCCGTTTCGTCCTATTATGGGACTCCTCAGCAGTGCGCGTCCACGAACCCACTCTCAGTTGAAGTTAGAAATTAACACCGTTGGATGCCAGCTCAGTGGTCTATCGGTTAAGGGCTTCGGCTCGAAACTGGTAGGTCCTGGGTTCGAATCCCGCGAGAGTGAGTTCGTGGACGCGCACTGCTGAGGAGTCCCATAATAGGACGAAACGGCCGTCCAATGCTTCCAGGTTTTCCATGGTAGTCTAGCTTCAATTGACTCATGATCTCAACTCTATAAAAATTATTTTATTCCTTCCTTTTTGTGTATTTTACTTATTCTCTTACATAATTACTATATTACTGACTATTCATTAGAATATTTTGTTAGTTCTTTCTTCTCTTTTTTATATATTATGCAACGTAGCAACAGCTTGATATTCGAATAATTACATTGATTGGTATTAATCTTCTGACTTTCAATTAATCAATGTTACTTTGTAATAGATACATCATTATATAATCATTACGTAACATAACTACACGATGAGTGTTATGCTTTATTATATCTCATATACATATATATATATATATATATATATATTGATGTGTGGGCGAGAATGTCAATGATTGATTGTCTCGATGAGTCAGACATTAGAGGGGATGACAGGTGTTATGTGTTATATATATATTTCCCTATCCTTATTATGTATGGACATCTTGACTGTTCCTTGTTGATGGACACTTATTGATTAACTGTTCTTTGTGTCGGATTTTCGTGTATAAATATATTGACGTCATAGTCAGGCTAATCTGGTGTTCTTGATCTGAGTTCTGTTGAAGTCCTGTAGAATAGACACTGGGTGGGAATCTAGTGTAGATATTCGTCTAAGATAAATTAACGTCCCACATACGTGTAAGAAGTAAAAGGACTGTTATAACAAGAACCCCTAAACTTATAACTAGCATCCTCTCTCTCTCTCTACGTTTATAACAATTGGCGACGGCATACATACGTTTATAACATATATATATATATATATATATATATATATATATATATTAGTGTACATATTAGTGCTGATTGTGTTAATCAAATTATGCTTTGAAATCTCAACATTCTCATACACATCAACAGAGAACCGGAAAGATTTTAAGTTCTTCTTAGGTGGAAGCTACAGTAATGATTTGAAGTGACTGACAAAAAGCCATCTACTAACTCTAACGTGAAAATAATCACAAATAATGGTATTGATTTTTCGATTACAATTTAATTCATTCTTGATAGATGAAATGTGTTGGAAAGGAAAGCATTCCAACACTCAACAATAGATTTCCAAGTCTAATTTAACCGACTGTCAAAGTGATGAGATCTTAACCAAATCCCTGAGCATAGAGGTTATGGCTTGCAATAATCAAAATTCAATCAAGAACGTCAACATTCCGATATATTATATCATTGTTTATTTGAAAAATACTACGTTCAGTTTGATTTGAATTATGATACGAGTTAGCATAATGTTCACTTCGTTCTCCATCTCACATATTAACAATTAACGACGCCAGATGTTACAGTTTAAAGACAGTGACTTTTATACCACTTGTCATATACACTTATTTCATTCTATATACTTGAAATAAGTATGACCTACTTTATTGACTAATCACTTACATCTTGTACATGTAAATGTTAGTTAGTATCAGCAATTTCTTTGTCAATTAAAACACACATTTATATCAGTAATATAATCAGTCCAGTCAAATCAAAATCATTGAGACAAGATGAATGGATGTGAAAAATGAACCATCATAGTCTGTTAAATATGAGAAGACAAAATGAGACGACGGAATTTGAATTATCTAATTAACTGTTCAACATTGAAACGACTCAATTGACAAACTTTGAAAATTGAACCTAATAAATGAAAGTGATGAGATTCAAAGTATTGTCAAAAATCTAAACATTTTTCATTCATCATTTTGTCTATCAAATGAAACATCGAATTTCACTTGAATCTTTGTGTATATAAAAGCCGAAATTGAGTTTTGACTTCAATGTGAGTTGTGTATGTTTCCAGCTTCTACTTGAAAGTATCTAAGAATTTGTGAGGGAGATTTAGGTAGTTATATGAGCTAGATGTATTGTTTATGTTTCAGAGTTGGTATCATATTTACTGACCACTTGACTCGAAACTATATCATGTCACAAATGAAATTAATAATCATCACCTTATTCTCATTGATGCTATTCGAAGGAGTCAAGGCAGAGGAGAATGATGACGATGGTAAGTTCATCTTTTTCACGTAACTCGAGTTTACAAAATCTATTGAAGTAAACTTATTTCAAACATCATATATTTAAAGTGAATAAACATTATTCACATGACTGTTATGGTGTGCGGTATCCAAGACAAATACTGATACACAAACTTTCCAAAGACAAGCTCCATCGAACTATAAAATGAGAAGACTAAGTGTGTAGTAGGTAGTTTACTATGCTAAACCGAATCACATGCATAAACACTCATTGATATACACGAACATGACTAAAATCTAGAAGTTGAAACAATTTCTCGACCGTTCACATTGATTTTTCACTACGAACTTTTTGATTGACACAACGTGGACTTCCCATTCTACGACTTTTCACTGGCACACTATATCAGGAACCTTGATTATCGTATTTCGTGCATTTGAACTAATTCTCATTGTGTCAGGTCCAGGAAGCATAGTAAACAGTGTAGTGAATGCTGGTAAATAGGAAACCTGAGTAGGATTCTCCACAGACGTTGTATTCTGGTGCAAAGCACAACTGACCAACGTTCACTGTATGACATGAAACCATGAATTTTAGCCCAAATAGCGACAGCATGTCATAATCACTTGGACTATCAACTGTACACACGATTCATTAGGAATGAATATTGTGATTAGTCTCGTAATATTTCGATCTAACTAAAATTAAGATCAAGGACCATCCATGGTCTGATATTTGGTGAAACCTTGTCAGGGGATTTCTACTGTGGATACAATCTTCATTGTACAAATAGTATTCGAGAAGTAATATTCACAGTAACTCATCGAATAACAATTTCCCATATATCGTACTAGTCATTCGATATATTCTGACATTGACGTCTTTTTCATCGGAGCATAATCATACAGATGAGATATTTACTGAGATGTGATAGGAATCTTCATAGTTGATAGTCCATTATCGAGCTCTCTATCTGAAATATTTTACACACACGCCACAACTACTGACAATAAAGTAAATGTCTATAATGTGTTCTATCTATATTTGTACATGTATTGTAATTCACTTTCCTAAAGAAATCGTAGAATACACAAGAATTCGAAACAGTGACGATACAGAAGACTCAAAAACCTGTGATGATAGCAGCAAAAACAAAAAGCGAAATGGGATAAACAAGACAAAGAATATTTCCAAGGCAAAACAATCACATGATGATGGTTCACGCAAAAAACGGTGCTAGTGGTCTGGTGAATCGGAAATAAAAATGGTGCGAGAACTGTTGTACTCATAATTATTTTTGTGAAATGTTTTAAAAATATAATAATAACAATACAATTAGAAAATCTTGATAATAAAGCAAAAGTCATTTAAAGTTGAAGGGAAAATGTCTAAAAAGATCACTGAGTTATATCAACAGTAGGGTGAATTCCAACTGCAATAAATAATTCACTATCAAGAGGAGTCAGAAACGCAATGAAATATTAAAAATCAAGAGGTCAAAATAATCAATAAATTTCGTTATCTCTGTGATTTTCATTAATTCTTGTCACACTTGTTGGTTGTGTGGTTTCATGTAATATTTCAATACGAATGAATTTGTTTGTAGCTCAGGCATATCAATGAGATATCACGAGTTCACGAGATTCCTCATCAATTTTCGCTCCTAATTTATTCGAATTCATGAATGAAACTCAATATGTAAGCCTTCATTTCTTTCTAGGATTCGTACTTTTGTGTAAAATATGGTACTAGTAATCGACAGTCAGTTTTCTTGAATGATATGCAACCAGTCCCATGTGTTTATTCGTCAACATTACCAATCTTACATCATCTCGTTTACGTGTGAGTAAGGTTTCATCGTTTCCTAACTTATCTATTGCTTAACAGTGCTACTTGACAAGCGAACATTCTGTTGTTGGTTGACTCCTTAGTTGGCGAATATGTTCTCATGTTTACACACATGTAGCAACGTTTGTAGAGGATCTGTTCTAAAACGATATTCTTCCCTACTATATCTTACTAACATTATACACAAAGCTTGCATCGACTATCAAGGATAGTGTGTTCTGTGATGATGATTGAGTAACGGTGATATCTACAACATCTCAAGCAAATGACAAATGATTGCAGTTGAGTGACATACAATTCACCGTAATTTACAGATAATGATAACGAAGATGACGATGTATTTCGTCTTTGATGCTCATGGTCGTTTTGATATTTATTAATAATTTTATAAAGTGATATAAGAATTGTCGAAGCATTGTATGTCTTATGATTTGAATAACCTGTTTATATGGTGAAGGAAGAATGATTGATCTAGGAATCTTAATTTGATTACTCGATTTCGAATATGAATTAACGCGAAATACCGATATCAGGGACATCTAGACGAATACTTATTTCTTTAGTCAACATGTTTGTAGTTCAATTAATTTGAGCAATTGTGTGAAAGTGATTGACAAACAGAATGGTTGCTCACAGTAATACCAAAACAGAACTGAGATTATTTCGACTTCAATATGAATAAGTTGTGATAATTAGAACGGAATAGAAAATTACTGCAGACTAACTATAATTTAGTACAAATTGGACGAATTCAATACAATATCACAAATGGATGTCCTACTGGTCCGGATAGCTTATAGGATAATTTGAAGGTTATTTTAGAGGAAATATGGTAACAACAAATTAAGTGTTTTGATAGGAACATGATTACAGGAGTCATTCATGATGTTAACAGTGTCCATGATGGTGATGATGACGGTGATGTCCGTGATGATGATGGTGGTGATGGTGACCGTGGTGATGATGTCCATGATGACGATGATGATGATGATGGTGATGTTTGTGGTGTCCATGGCATCCATGGTGGCCGTAATGGTGGCGGTAATAGCCATGAAGCAATTGTGATTGTGTGGCATTATCACCGCCAACAACCTGTAACACACTTGCATCAGTGTGATTATTTTCAGTCGGACTAAGTGTCGTATCTATATCTTCACTTCCATATCCACTCTCAGAATCCTTTGTCACATTATCCAGTTGCACTTGCTCAGTGACAGTGACGGTCGGTCCTATAACACAAGAAGACATCATGTTAGGCAAATATTGATGAATAGAGTATGTGGGAGCATAAACAAACACAATTGACAGTATGAGGATGTTTACGTATTTGGTGGTTGGATATAGAGTTGTACTGCTAGCTTGTGAGGTGATCATCTATAAGCACTAATAAACAACTCAAAAAAATGTTTGAAACACATGTCATTCGGAATAGTCAGTGAACTGAACAGAAGACTATTTCTGTGATGTCGCGTGGTCGAACAGTAACAAAAAATTGTCTGTGATCAGACACTCAACCATATGCCTCACACAACGTGCATAAGAAACAGTAATACTTGATGAAGGATTCATCAAAGTTGAGAGACTTTTCGGTTGGTAATTACCCTCACATATCTTGTGGAGATAGAACCTTAAAACCTATTTTGTAAATAATTTTTCATAGTTTTCGCATGTATTTTCATATTCTGTACATTAAGCATTAGACAATTGTACTTGTTGTTTAACTGTATTACTTTGAACGCTTGTAACTCGACTTCCTTCCGTTTTGAGTACAACATATCGTGATACTGTTACTGCTTCTCAATAAATACACTCTAATTCACATCTGCATCATTCTGCCATGTCTGCTAATATGTTGAATGAAATATTAATTGCATACCATCTACGTTTATAGACAACTGCGACATTCTTATTGAATTCTACGCTTGGTAAACCTACTGGATCTATATCGTCCATATTGGGATTACTAATTTTTTATAATTGTGGATTATTTGGACCAAACCCAGCCGAACACGCAATAGCCTGAAGACTTAAGTAACGTCCCTTATTATGTTATTTGTGTGTATAATTAACTTATTAACTGTTAATTGTTACATAAACTATAGACATAATATTTTTGTTGCTAATTTTTGGTTATCATACATTTTGGTCCACCACAATCTCAACAAAACACTAACTTACCTTCACTAGGTGAGGAGACTGATAAGGTTTCGACCATTCGGTGTTCGAAGACGAACACACTCAGTAGTAGTAAGATGATGAGTCTCATTGCCATTCTGAAAGAAAGAGAATTTTCGACCTGTAAGAAGTCAGTAATCTTTGTTGTTGAGTTCAAGTGTATTAGTCAGCGTAAATGAAGTAGAGTAGTAATAGCACCACGTAAGTTACAGAAAATTCACAACTTACTCTCCTCACTCTGAATGTTTATCTTTCACTACACGATAATGTTAGTGAGGGTAGCTAATCGAAGTGTCATTTAAATACACGTGTATTTATATAGCAATGATGTCCATGGAAAATAGGTTAAGAAAGTCACGTAATAAATCAGTCAAATCAGTCATGATAATCACTTGTGTTCTAATGACTAATGCATGTTCATACACCTACTTTAGGCACATATGTTTTCTTCCGATCGTGTGTGAACTATTCGCTTACATTGTACTTTGTGGATTACTCTGAATATTTAAACATGTGACTCGCGATTCCAGATTCCGTTTTTTCAGGTTGTGAATATATTGATCGACACGACAACTATACACTGCCCTCAGTTATCGATATAGGTATATTTCGTAAACATTAATTTTCGCACATAAAAGCAGGATTGAATTTTGCAGTGGCTCTGATTTCTGGGAACTTGACAGAACACCCTTGATAATCGCCATGCAGAGGTTCTGAGCAATTCAGGCTCAGTCCCTCAACGTGTTTCAATTGTGTTTTACTACTGAATAGGACGGTTTTCTGATCTCTGGGTTCGTCGAAGAAGTTGACGCTAACTGACCATGTAGTCATTGACGAACATGTTCGTCAACCTCGGTTAGGTTACTCTTCCCTATGTATTTGTTTCCATATACCCATATTTGAATTGATAGATACAGTGGGATGTCACGCCATTGTTTCAATGATGTTTAAGTCCATACAGAATAATGGTCTTAATCTTCTCGATCTCAAATAATAACTTGCTGTTCATAATTACACTCAGAATGATGAGGAACAAAATATTTCACGGTCTATTCAACTAAACATACAACTTAATCATCCTGACTTCAAAAATTTTTGATTTACAAATCAGAATAAGCTAGATAAACCATACGAACCATGTCTGTCTGTTGCCACACAAGTTTCCTCTCATCGTCAGTCATAGTCCGGATGTACAAAGTACGTCACTGGAGTGTAAATATCTCAGATGGTACAAGGCGTAAGTTGAACACTTTATGTAACTAACATACATCTGAATGTTTGACAGTTTCATAGTTTCATGTAAATGGATTGACTTAACTGAAATTGGAGTGTTGATGTCAGTGAACCATTTTATTTGTTATTTAGTTGATGGGACTGATTGACAGAGATCATAATGATTGATGTTGTTTAGATGGTTGATATTGGGAATTGTGTTTGACACCATAGTCGGTCAGTTGATAAATCAACGGAGAAGTGAGGAAATGATGAGTGTTATTGTTGAGTCGGTTTAAACTTTCTGTCTCAATTCCCTCCTCACCCAACCTGTAATTTGTGTATTGCTGTATACTACTACTTGTCAATATTCAGTGATCAGTTCTATTGCTAACAATTTGTAGGCGCATGGTACAACGTGAGTTTGTGTTGTGTGATAACGTAAACTACTGCATATACTAATAACATTTCCTGTATTTACTATTACAACTCCTTCATGCAAACTGGTGTGAAAGCTATTTTCAGTTTTGTATATTCCTTGGATCTTTGTTTAAACGCGACACTTCCCAGATTTGTGTACTCTTAGTTCCAATTCTGGTTGTTGATAAACTGTTGTTCACATTCGATACAATTATCAGTTGTCATTTACACTATCGTTTATTGTCATTACGCTAAGTGTTATTATTACAGGATGCCTTTCTCTTTCCAGATATACAGAGGTGTTATTCGCTCCAGATTCCTTACGAGTTGAGTTTGTGACCAATTTATGTTTGTGCTACTCAAATAGAATCACCACCCTTTAGACAAATCGTTATGTTCTTGGACTTTGGTTTCACGCCTATATCAATCGTGAAGTTGGACACTTCGAAAGAAAAAACATTGGTTTCCATCAACAAGATTCAACTCTGAACTAACTGTGTGATTTCCCATCAAAACTCAGCATTAATTTCAATCTATTTTGAGATGAAACTCAATCACATATATCACCATATCTGAACAGATTCT